TTTTGTATCCTGAAGCCTTACGGAATGTATTAGTTCTAACAGTGTTTTTGTGAAGTCTTTAGGGTTTTCTATATATAATACCATGTCATCTGCAAACAGTGACAATTTTACTTCTTCCTCTCCATTTGGATGCCTTTGATTCCTTTTCCTTGTCTAATGGCTCTGGCTAGGACTTCGAATACTACGTTGAACAAAAGCGGTGAGAATGGGCGTCCTTGTTGCTGATTTTAGAGGAAAAGCTTTCAGCTTGTCACTGCTGAGCATGATGTTAGCTGTGGGCTTGTCATGTATGGCCTTTATTACGTTGAGATACATTCCTTCTGTACCCACTTTGCTGAGAATTTTTATCATAAATGGTTGTTGAATTTCCTTAAGTGCTTTTTTTCATCTACTGAGATATTCGTATGGGTTTTAGCCTTTCTTTCATTAACGTTGTATACAGCACTGATGGATTTTCAGGTATTGAGCCATCCTTGCATCCCTGGAATAAATCCAACTTGACTATGATGTATGATTCTTCTGTATTATTGAATGCATTTTGATAATGTTTCGTTGAGGATTTTTCCATCTATGTTCATCAGGAGTATTGGTCTGTAATTTTCTTTTATTGTGACATTGGTGTCTGGTTTTGGTATCAGGGTAATGCTGACCTCATAAAAATAAATTTGGAAGTCTACTCATCTTTTCTATTTTTGGAAGAGTTTTAGAATTGGTATTAATTTTTCTTAAATATTTGGCAGAATTTGCCAACGAATCAGTCTTATCCTATACTTTCATTTGTTAGGGTGTTTTTGACTGCTGATTCAATCTCCTTATTAGTAATTGGTCTGCCCAGATTTTCTATTTCTTCATGATTCGGTTTTGAAAGTTTTTATGTTTCTAAGGATTTATCCATATCTTCTGGCTTGTCCAATTTATTAGCATATAATTGTTCATACTGATCTCTGGAATTCCTTTGTATTTCTGTGGTATCAGGTGTGACGTCTCTCTCATTTCTGACTTTGACTTCTCTCTCTCTCTCTCTCTC